GAGAGAGAGAGAGAGAGAGAGAGAGAGAGAGAGAGAGAGAGAGAGAAAGCGTTTTTGTCTTTGTGAGTGAATGACTGAGAATTTAAAATACATTGAGTCACAGGTTTGCCTAGAGAGAGAGAGAGAGAGAGAGAGAGAGAGAGAGAGGAAATGTGCTAGGACTGTACTTCAGCATCCTGTTTCCTCTGAAGAGTTTAAATAAAATCATAATATTTACTACAACTCTGTGGACAGGCTCACAGAGTCCAGGACGGCAATAAATTAGTATTATGCAAACTGTTTTCCGCAGAAATACAGTCCCTCTTGTATATCTTCAACAGCCCACCAGGAAAGGGAAGGGCGGGTTTCTGGGAGGCACGGTTAGACCAGATTGTACTCCTTCAGGTTCAGCTGGAGGATGGTGTCCTTGACCGCAGCAAAGACGAAGCGGATGTTCTCCGTGTCTGTGGCACACGTGAAGTGGGAGTAGATAATTTTGTCACTGTCTGGATTCAGGTCCACGAACATCTTCAGGATGAATTCTCGAGCTGCCTGGGCATCTCTCTGGGGTCCTGTTGGCCAAGAGAGGAGGAGCAAGATTTGTTACCTGATCCACTAACACATTTGTTCATCATCTGTTCAACAGGCATCTGTTGTGTCATGTGCCTACAAAAGACTAATCTGCATTTTGGATCTGATCTCTTAAATCACACTGTGCGATTTTTTTCTCTTCTTTGTAATTTTACCGGCCTGCATGTGTCCATCTGTCCGTCCATCCGTCCGTCCATCCATCCATCCATCCATCCATCCATCCATCCATCCATCCATCCATCCATCCATCCATCCATCCATCCATCCATCCATCCATCCATCCATCCATCCATCCATCCATCCATCCATCCATCCATCCATCCATCCATCCATCCATCCATCCATCCATCCATCCATCCATCCATCCATCCATCCATCCATCCATCCATCCATCCATCCATCCATCCATCCATCCATCCATCCATCCATCCATCCATCCATCCATCCATCCATCCATCCATCCATCCATCCATCCATCCATCCATCCATCCATCCATCATTCAAAAAATGTAGATGGTTACAAACAGACAGAGGACTTCAAAGTCAGGATAAGATCATATTCCCCCCTGATTCTTTGGTTGATATTAAATAAAATCATAATATTTACTACAACTCTGTGGACAGGCTCACAGAGTCCAGGACGGCAATAAATTAGTATTATGCAAACTGTTTTCCGCAGAAATACAGTCCCTCTTGTATATCTTCAACAGCCCACCAGGAAAGGGAAGGGCGGGTTTCTGGGAGGCACGGTTAGACCAGATTGTACTCCTTCAGGTTCAGCTGGAGGATGGTGTCCTTGACCGCAGCAAAGACGAAGCGGATGTTCTCCGTGTCTGTGGCACACGTGAAGTGGGAGTAGATAATTTTGTCACTGTCTGGATTCAGGTCCACGAACATCTTCAGGATGAATTCTCGAGCTGCCTGGGCATCTCTCTGGGGTCCTGTTGGCCAAGAGAGGAGGAGCAAGATTTGTTACCTGATCCACTAACACATTTGTTCATCATCTGTTCAACAGGCATCTGTTGTGTCATGTGCCTACAAAAGACTAATCTGCATTTTGGATCTGATCTCTTAAATCACACTGTGCGATTTTTTTCTCTTCTTTGTAATTTTACCGGCCTGCATGTGTCCATCTGTCCGTCCATCCGTCCGTCCATCCATCCATCCATCCATCCATCCATCCATCCATCCATCCATCCATCCATCCATCCATCCATCCATCCATCCATCCATCCATCCATCCATCCATCCATCCATCCATCCATCCATCCATCCATCCATCCATCCATCCATCCATCCATCCATCCATCCATCCATCCATCCATCCATCCATCCATCCATCCATCCATCCATCCATCCATCCATCCATCCATCCATCCATCCATCCGTCCATCCGTCCGTCCATCCATCCATCCATCCATCCATCCATCCATCCATCCATCCATCCATCATTCAAAAAATGTAGATGGTTACAAACAGACAGAGGACTTCAAAGTCAGGATAAGATCATATTCCCCCCTGATTCTTTGGTTGATAAGAGAACCACTGTGAACTCTCCACTAGAAGGGTGATAGCTTAGTCCTCTCCCACTAGGCTACTTCATCTTTGTAATAAGTGAGCGTACAGACATAGCTGTTTTGTGTGTCTTATCAATCTGTTTGCTAAAAATTTGACATTATAGGGACTAGGAAGATGACTCAATAGGTAAAGTGCTTGCAAGCACGAGGACCTGCGTTTGGATCCCTGGCACCAACATAAAAGTTGGGCACAGGGGCATACATCTGTAACCCCAGCACTGCAGGTGGAGGGTGGACTGGCTCAGAGACAGGTGGATCCTTGGAGCTCATTGGTCACTAGTCCAGTCAATCAGTGAGCTTCAGATTCAGTAAGAGACCCTATTTCAAAACTAAGATAACAATAGAGGAAGACACCAACATCAACTTCTGGCCTCTACACATAAGCATACACTGATGTGCATGCACCTGCAAGCTAATATACATGCATGCACACATACAACACCCATGCACACATACACACAAAAGCTTTGGCATTGTGAGTCATTTTACATTCTTTGGATTGAAATTTCAATCAAAATAGAATACTTGCTCCTCAATTTCAGGTCCAGCTACAACAGTTCTCTGCAGTGTGACTTCTACAGCCACTGGTGTTTCTGACCACACCACATTTACAGTGTTAAATTCACTGTGTGTGATGGTAAGCATTGGTTTGAAGTTTCCTGTACTTCCTTGGGGTCTCTTATGCCTCAGACATTGTCTTACAGTCCTTGAAAAGGGAGGATTAATTTATTTGGATAAATTAGAAACTTGTTGTATTGGTTAGTTTTAAATGTCAACTTGCTACAACCTACAGTCATCTGAAAGGGGAGTCTCAAATGAAGGATTATCGAGATCAGGTTGGCCCATGGCCATGACTTTGGGGCACTGTTAATTTACGTGGGAAGAGACAGCCATTGTGAGGGGCACCATTCCCTAGGCAGGGTCTCCGAAACACACAGGACAGAAGAAAGTTGGATGCAGCAAGCAAGGTACGCTTCTGCTCTGCTCTTGCATGGATGGGATGTGACCACCTGCTCGAACTCCTGCCTTGACTTCTTCACTATGATGGACTGTGACCTGGACTTGAAAGCCAAACAAATCCTTTTCTCCCCTAAGTTGCTTTTTGTCAAGGTGTTTTATCATAGCAATAGAGTTGAAACTGTAACAGTTAAATAATAATTTTTCTGTGGGTTTTTAGGGGACACCAAGGCAGAGGCAGAAGAAGACAAACAAAACCAAACAAAAAGCTAAACTGGACCCATCAGAATTAAAAGCTTTTATTATCATGTAGGCAGTTTAGCATCTAGAATATAAAAAGAGATCCTATAACTTGACAAAAGGTAAATAACCTGATTAAAACTGGGCAAAAGACTCGACAGTTCTGAAGAAGACTCAGATTTAATAAGTACACAGGAAGATGCTTAACTTTGTTATCAAATAAAATCAGGAGATACCCCTTCCCAACTACCTGCCTAGGTATCATTTTAAAGGGAGACAGTAACACCGTTGGCAGGATGTGAAGCTTGCTGCTCTGCCTGCTTTGGGTGGGCATGTACAGTGGTGCAGCCATTGTGGTAAGCAGCAGTTTCCCAAAAACCCAAGATTAAAATTACCATGCAATTCAGCAATTCTCTTCCCAGGCAATCACATTCCAAATAAATTGAGACGTACAGCTTTCATAGGTGAATGTTATAGAAGCATTTGTCACAATACTTATCAGTAGGAATAACTCAGATAATAGGACAGACCAATGGTGATATATCCATAAGTAGACTGTATGAGCAGTATGTGTAAGTAGTATACGTAAGCCATTAGTAGTAGATACTATAAGACGTATGACCATTGAAAATGTTATTCTCAAATCAGTATGCCAGACATAAACAAATACTGTATGATTCCTCTTATAAGATGTACCTAAGATAAAAAGATTCACAGAGGGAGAAAGTAAAGGCTACTTTGGGCTAAGGGACGGGACACTTGAGTGTGGTCACTTAGTTGGAGAAGTGAAATATTTTGGAAGCACTGGCAAAAGCCACATAGTATTATATATACTAATGTCATGGGTTCACATATTTAAAAGTTGTAATTTAGCCAGGCATGCATGGTAGCACATACCTTTAATCCCAGCATGCACAAGACAGAGGCAGGTGAGTCTGAGATTGAGGCTAGTCTGGTCTACATAGCGAGCAGCTGGGGCTATAGGGAGACTCTGTCTCAAAAGTAAATCAAACCAACCAAACAAATAAAAAGTTCCAATTTAAATGTTCTGAATGGCATTTTATCATATTTAAAATAAGTTAACAATGTGCTGTGCCCCAAACCATTAATTAATTGTGTAATGGGTGAATTATAACATGAATCATATCTCAATTAAGCAGTTTAATACTTACTTAACAGACTCTGAGAAATGTATGAATTAAAGAAAAAACCTTGCTGGGCGTGGTGGCGCATGCCTTTAATCCCAGCACTCGGGAGGCAGAGGCAGGGGGATCTCTGTGAGTTCAAGGTCAGCCTGGTCTACATAGTGAGTTCCAGGACAGCTGGGGCTACAGGGAGACCCTGTCTCAAAAAGACAAAAAAAACAAAAAACAAAAAACAAACAAACAAAAAAAAACCCAAAACAAAAACAAAAAACCCATTTATTTGTTTGTTTATTTGTATGAGTGTATTGCCTGCATGTGTGTAAGTGCACCCGTGGCATGCAGTGACCATGGAGGCCAGAAGTGGCCATTAGAGTCCCTGGAACTGGAGTTATGAATGGTTGTTAGCTACCATGTGGGTACTGGGATTTGAATGCCATTTCTTCAGCCTCAAATGCATGAATTTAAAACATATAAATAAATTACTAACACCCAAACACTATCACCTCTCAGGAGCTGAGCACCTGGGTGGTCATGGTGTAAGTTACTCTACACCAGGAAGAAGCAAGTGCTGCTTCCTTCTCTCTGGGAAAGACCATCCCAGGATTCACAGCACAGGTCTACTCCCTCTGCCAAGCCTAAGCACCAATTCTAACTACCTTAATCCTAAATCTCAGACAACTTGAGAGCTTTCACATCAACACCATTATAAATTGGGGCTTGACACCTATGAGCTTATATCCCTTATGCCAGGCTGGAATGTATGGAAAGAGCTATGAAAGTACAGACTTTTTTATATGAGTAATAACAGTAATTTTTATGCTTTTAACATAGGTGCTCAGAATGGAGCTTCCAGGAAGGCTGCCCTCATGCCAAATGAAGGCGCCATAATTAAAATCCAATGTCATATGAAATTATTGAATGTCATATTTGTAAGATGTAAGATGTTTATTAATATTCTGTCTTTTTCAAAGTACTATGGTTAACTTATTGGTTCCACAATAGCACTGAAAACACTTCAAAGGAGGGACTAATAGACTGTTATGGTGGAAAGGATTAACTGTTTTTTGGCTGTTTTATTTATCCTAAAGAATATCAGAACTAGGTTCAAGTTTACTGTAGTATGTAATATTTTCAAGCATAAAATATGTTATTTGAATGCACATGAACTACAAATAAATCACTACAGTCATCATAGCAGGCACTGGATTCCACAATCTCTCTGAACAATTCTGCGATTCAGGTCCACGTGGAAATGGCAATTTCCCTTCCTGAAGAGAAATACAGAAGTGGTATTCATTAAGACCTTGTGAGTGTGGAACTGTGGAACTGTGGAATTTATAATACTATGAACACGCTCACTATAGACATGTCACTGTGGTGGACTTACTTCTTTATCAGTCTTGGCCCATCTCACACGGACTTGGGATCGCATGAAGTGATGGCTATGTTTCTTTGAGAACAAGTCTGTGCCTTTTTTTTTTTTTAACTGTGCTCATATTTCTTATGGGCATTATGTGTGCTTTATGGGATAACTGGACCAAAGAGGTTTATAAAGAAGTTGCAGATGTCTCGGAAAGTACCAGTTCCACAAACTCTCAGCCTAGGATCTTCGACTAGAGTCGTCGGTCACTCTATGGTGGGGCTGTTTGCTGTAGCTGGGCAGCTGGTTGCCGGGGGTTTCTACTTGCAGCTGTGCACTGCTCTCTGTCCTCACAGAAGTGGTTAAACAAGGGTCCCACAGACCAGGTGCTGTGTATGGTGTAGCCATTTTCTGTTCACCGACTCTCACCACTTTAGAAACTGGTGCTCCTTCTGGGTGTATGAGCAGGCGTGAGCACGTAGATCTGACGTGGGTGCTACTTGCTCCTGTTCTGTTATTCATCTGTGCTTAGCCTGTTACACCTGGGCTTAGCCTGTTACACAGGCCAACAGTATAGCACATACAGACTCATTTCCTTCCACAGCTTCCTCAGGAATACAGAGGCGATATCAGGTATTTACTATCTGCTTCCAGGTTAGTGACAAGAGGAGTAAGAAGAAAATACTATTTGGCTAAGGCAGTATTTGTTTTTGGGTGTGTTTTTTTTTTTTTTTTTTTTTTTTTTTTGGTCTTTTTGAGACAGGGTCTCCCTGTAGCCCCAGCAGTGTTGGAACTTACTATGAGCAGGCTGGCTTTGAACTCACAGACATCTGCGTGCCTCTGCCTCCCAAGTGCTGGGATCAAAGGTGTGCATTACCACACCCAGCACCAGTATTTGTTCGCCCAAGTGCTGGGATCAAAGGTGTGCATTACCACACCCAGCACCAGTATTTGTTTTTTGTTTTCTTTGGTCTTTTTGAGACAGGGTCTCCCTGTAGCCCCAGCTGACCCGTACTCACTATGTAGACCAGGCTGGCCTTGAACTCACAGAAATCCGCCTGCGCTGGGACTAAAGGCATGCGCCACCACGCCCGACTTCAGTATTTGTTTTTTTAAAAGAACTACAAAGCACACAGGAAAATGTACTTGGAGAAATGTGAACACCCTGCTAACAAAATGGTCCCTGCTTCTAACAGCTGGCAACACATTCAAACATCCATATGCATTGGAGACAGCAGGAACTTCAGTTGTTAAGCATGTCCCATTTCCTTTGGATGAGCCAGCACTGCACCTAATGCATACAGAATAAATGGGTGCCCAAATCTTCTCAGAAAGCAACGAAGCAAAAGTGATTCTTAGTCTTTAGAGAATTTCCTTGCTCCTGGGGAGATTTTGGAGCACGAAAACAGCACTGAATTGACATCCAGATCTCCTGTGCTGATGATGTCATTTTGAAAGCAGTCACTTCTGCTGTTAGTCACTCTGCAAATACTTTGGGGCGTGGTCCTACTCAGTGTAGGTGCTATGCTCTCATTTACTTATGATTCTATTAGTTCTTTAAATGGAGGAGTAAACCAAGCAGGGTTAAATGCGTTTGTCCAATGCAATGGAGCAAGTGAGTAGCAGCACTTGGAGATGTTCAAAGTGTGTGTCTTCAGCTACTCTCGGATCAGGGCTTGGCATACTCTTTCCTTAAAGGGCCAGAGATGACGTATTTTAGGTTTTGAAGATCATTCAATGTCTGTCACAATGACTCATGTCTGCTGCGGTAGTGAGAACGTAGCCCTAGGAAAGCATGTGGCTGTGTGGCAATAAGCTTTATCCTTAACCACAGGAAGCAGCCTCTGGTTTGTTTCACCTGCATTTGGTTTAAGCTTTACAGGGAAGGGGCTCTGAGTGCTTGGGAGAATGGTTATGGATGCAATCAGCTAACAAGACTGTCTTAAGATAGTGGTGTCTATCTGTTCAGAAGTCACAATGTAGCTGGGAAGATCTATTTTTTTAATGGTGAAAATAATGCAGGGTCAAACTCGAGTGGGTGCTGCAGATTCCATGGGGCGCTGTACCACGCTGCCTCTTGCACCGCAGGCCCTGTGGCTACAGGACGCTACACTGTACTGTCTCTTGCACTATGGCCCTATGGCTCCTGGCAGTGTACCGTGCTGCTTAGTGTATTGGTATTGACAACACAGTTCCTCAGATGCTAAGGCTCGCAGCTGAATGTCCACTTACCATCATATTCTGGGAAGTAATCAACTAGGTGGGAATACATGATTTTCTCCTCTAGAAGATCCTTCTTGTTTAAGAATAGAATAACCGAGGAGTTCTGGAACCAGGGATAGGTGATGATTGTTCTAAAGAGTGCTTTGCTTTCTTCCATTCGGTTCTAGGGTAAAGAAAACCAGAGAAACAAGGAATGAACTATTGATTTCTTGGCCTTTGAACTGTCTTTACTTTTTGAGTCTAATCCATCATCTGTGTGATTCCAATTT